CACCTCGCTCGCCGCAGCTCAATCCATTTCAAACAAGAGGAGCATTAACCGGGCATCATGACGAAGCAGAATCGGAAGCGGACTCGGCGGCGAGCCGCTGGCCTTTTCCCCTTTCCCACACCCACCCCCACCCTTGCAACACTCCCGCTCACACACACTGCCCCAGGAGCCTCCAAGACGAGCAGAGTTTGAGTAAGGGGGGAGGGGTCTCCACTGATAACAGAGGGGTGAGGACAGCTGGTTTCTCCAAGCACCTGCATCTCCCACTCATCACCTAACAGCAGGCGCAGAGGCCTCTGGGGTCCCTGCCTCCCCGGGGTGCTAAAGCGCATAGGTGGCCAGGGGCAGGGGTGTGGGCTGGATGCCAGGATTGGTTAGCCAAGGATTAACCCTCTCCTGGGGAGCGATGAAGGAGAGGATTCAAAAAATCAGGTCCTCAGCCCAAGAGACTGGGATGGCCTTTCAGTAACCCGAACCCCTGGGAACTGCAACAGAGCACAGGCCTGTCGAGTGAGAAGGACCCCATCTCTCTCCCAGGGCAGTGTCTTCAAAAGAGAACTTCTTGCTAGGTGATGCCCAGGTCCCAGCACAGAACTACGGGGATGTGCCTTCCCAGTCTCTGGGAAAACCTCCACCCCTCCAGGTACCTGTCATTGACCTTTTGGTTCCCTCTGGGCTCAGAGCAGAGCCTGATTCATTTGTGCCCCCCGGGGGCAGGGGAGGGAGCCCAGCCAGCTGACCCTGGCCGTGACCCTGGCCTCCTCTCCACCTCCGCCAGACTTGCCTACCTAGGCAGCCCTTGCTGTTGCCCTGGTAACCGCTGCCCACAGCCGGTCAGCTGATGGTATCAGCTGTCGTTGGGAAAATCTAGAATCTGGGGAGGGGGCTCTGGGGTATCTGAATGGAAAAATCACAGGGGGAGGGTCTTGAGGGGACAGGTGAGAGTGTGTCCTGGGACCTCTTTCTCAAAGAGAAGAGGAGAGAAGGGGACAGGGAGGGACAGGAAGGGAGGGATGTGTCTGGGTTAATGGAGAACAGAGAAGAGTGACTCCTGAAGAATGGGCTCCAGAGAGAGAGGAGAAATGAAGAAGGCAGGTGGCTGAGTGGCTGGGGAAGAGGGGAAAGGATCCCGGCTTAGCTGCTGGATGTGTGGTGGGGGGAGATGGCCCTATGGAAAGGTACTAGAAAGCCTGAAGGTGGAGGAGAAACAGGCTCCACTGATGCATGAGAAAAAGGCCAGGAGGTGATGCAGGAGGGGGTGCGTGTTTGATGTGGCCGGAGGGGCCAGAGTCTTGGTGGCGGGGGCAAGACAACCATCTGGGCCTCTCAGCTTTCTGTCCCTTCAGCTTCACCCTTGCTGCCCTGGCCCCACCCGAGTCCTGCGCAGCCTCCCTCCCCAACTCTAGGAGACGAAGTGCCAGGTAGCCCTTCAGAATTCCTGATTTTTCCCAAGACTTCAGTTCCTCTCCTGCTTTCACACGCCCCTCCACAGACCCTATCGTAGATTTGCCTTCCGGTGCAAGGGTCCCCAGAGGTAGGGCTGGAATGAGTGAGCTGTCGCTGAGGACAGTATTCAGAGGCCTGGAATGAGGTGGCTCAGGAGGAATGGGTGGGAGTCGCTGGGCAGGGAGGAGGGGAGCATTCTCAGGGAAAGGAGCACACAGGATGGAGTGAGGGGGGAAGCCAAGAGGAAAGGGCAGTGGCGGGGAGGGGAAGGTTCTCCCGTACCTTTAAGGACCTGGGGCGTGGGGCAGGAGCACGGCCACTTCCTCGGTGACATACACCTCCATCCCTCGGCGCATCTCCTCTCCGCCTCCCGTTGCCAAGACAACCTGCCGGCTCAGCCGAGGAGGCAGCAGCGGCAGGGAGGGGGGAGGAGGCGGCTGTGGCTCCTACTGCCTCTTCTTCAGTGATGGAGGGAGGGGGCCTCAGTGCTGGGGTGGGGGTGGGGGAGATTCGGGAGCCAGGGGCCCCCCACTGAGCCCCACCACCCTCCCCTTTCCTCTCCTGCCATAAGGCTCTGGGATTGGC